TGAAGTTATCTGTATAGATATAAAGAGATATGGTAGATATATAAGAAATATCTATATTTATTTATCAATACAGATAATTATATAAACTAAAAGTAATTAGGTAAACTACATTTATTAAAAAAATAAATACCGGAAATATCTATTTTTATCTATATTGCATACCAAAATGCATTTATTTATATTATATTCATAAAATATTTTTCATAACAGTTAACTAAAGCTAGTAATTCACTATGCGTTAATGCGTTTTAAGATGAATTTCGTAAGTGCAATTCGTTAAAAACGCACATTTACTAAGTAATATTATACTATTTTTTTCCTATCTGTTCGAGTTTTTGTAGAAAATGCAGTTTCTTGTAATTTAGACCTCATTTATCACTATACCCATGGAATATTGACTTATTATATATAATATATATTTTAGATTATTTTTAAAGATGTAACAAATTTTCAAAGAGTACCAGATATAATACTAATAATATTGTCGATATACGGGTGTCCCAGGCTGAGCGTGCGTTAGAAGTTTCTAGGGAACCACAATATCTAGATCGGAGATTTTTTGTACATCATTGTTTTACAATGAGATCTATCGATTAAAAATATTTTCAATATGGCGGCACTTCCGGAAATACCGGAAGTTGACAGCAACTTTCTTGTTTTAAATGGGTCCCCCATTTTTTATTACATACTTAAATTCTCTGTAAAATTCTCTGAATATTGATGTAAAACACTCTATACCTAACATTAACCGTTTTTGAGAAAAAAAATATTTAAAATTTTTATATGAAAAAACTACCTACGTCAAAAAAAATTGTATAGCCTAAAAGTCAAATTTAGTGATTACCACAGCCACTGTGACATAAAGAGAAGACATGTGGCTAACTCAAAAATTAAATTGTTCAAATGTCAAATATTTTTAATCGATAGATCTCGTTGTGAAACTATGATGTGCAAAAAATCTCCAAGCTAGATGTTGTAGTTCTCCAGAAACTTTTAATGCACGCTCAGCCTGGGACACCCTGTATAATAGTTCGCTTATTTCATTAAAAAATAAAAAAAAATGTTTAAATATTTTTTGTTAAAGAGGACCAATTAATATGACCCCAGTATTCAAACTTCATTAAGTTTACTTTGATTAATAATACCTAATTGCTCCAAATACTAAAAAACTGAATTTTGTATGTGTATTAGACAGTGTGGTAAAAAGTATCACCTTATAACTTTTATTTCATTTTTTGACGTATGCTTATTTATAACAACAGATACATTCATTTTCATAACTTATTATTATATTGATTTCTTAGTCAAATCCACATTTATTTAGAATAATTTATTAATTAAAACAATAATTAAATAAGTAATTAAATAATTTTTGGACAGAAATAATGGTGGGATATTTAATTGGTATCATCTATCCAGCCTCTTCGGTCCATCGTTGGACATAGGCCTCCCCCAATCTCTTCCACTCTTCCCTCTCTGTCGCCATGCTCATCCATCTTGTGCCTGCATTTTTCCTCAGATCGTCCGCTCATTTCATCTGGGGTCTTCCTCTACTTCTTCTATTCTCCCAGCAATATTATTATTTTTACTACCTGTATATTTTGTACATATGTTGCTTTAAAAAAATCTAAAATCTCAATATTCCATGGGTACAGTGATAAATCAGGTCTAAATTATAAGAAAATGCATTTTCTTCGAAAACTTAAAGAGATAGGTAAAAAATGGAATAATACAATGTTATAGACAATTAAATTGTGCATCTGATTTACGTAAAATAATACAGGGTGTTCCATTTAAATTAAACAAGTTATTGCCGTTTAAAGCTAGTAATTTTTTAATATAAATTTTTTTACAGGTAGTATAATTTTTATTATTACCAACACAATATCTGATAAATAAATAAACTTCAGTAAATATTTAGTATTAAGAACGTTGATACTCTTGTAGGGTAGGGGGAGCCTTAAATTTTTTACTGCAATTTCACAAAATTGAAAATATTTCAAAAACGGTCAGGTTTAAGTGCGATAAATTTTAATCAAATTTACTTTTATTCCAATCGTAGAATCTAAAAATAGAATAATATACAGGGTGTTCCATTTAATTAATAAGTTAAATTTGGGACCTTTGTATCTTGTAAAATTATCTTTGTAAATGGTAGCTTTAATAGTCTTCAACGAACTCAAAACTTACAATTTGTAAAAATCTAATCGTTTAGCTATAATACCCCGTGTCGTATGTGGTGAACCACCCTGTATATCACTCAATTCGGTTCTGTACTATGGCTAAAATCGAAAGTTGACGAATTTTTAGCTATATTTGTTCACTTTGATGAAATGTATGAGTTTACCCGAATTAGCGCTTCTATTGTTTTTTTTAGAATGGCGAAGATTTCTGTCTGGAATACAATAGATTATTTAGTTAACTAAAAGAATAAGCATACCCTTTGTCTTTCTCCAATTACTCCAGCTTATATTCCTTCAGTGGTCTTGGACACGACTGTATACCAGGTTTGTATCAGTCCACATTCCTCGATCCATTTTAGCCACGTCGAGTGCTTTGTGGTAATGATAAAGAGGGTTCGATCTCATTTGGAGTAGTATATCTATTAATAGACAGACTACGCACTTTTGTTGTCGATAGATTCATATTCTTGCCTCCGCCTGAATCACTATGTGAAGAGGCGCAATGTCCAAAACCGCCTCCATTGATGCAGTGGGCGTTGATTTCAGTGCTCCTGTTATGCTCAGACAAGCAAGTCCTTGCATTTTGCTGAGGCTGAGCATTGTTGCTTGTTGCATTACTTTTGATCACCATGCTGAGTATGCATATATCATTGAAGACCTCACTGCCTCAGTGTAGAGCCACTGCACCATTTGTGGTTTGAAGCCACAAATGTTTCCATTGAAGTAGTCTGATAACCGCTAGTATAGTCACCGCCCGTTTGTGACATTATGACATTGAATTTGTGGCTTTGTTAGAGGAAATAACAATTCAGTCACAACTCCCACTATTCCCGAAATTAAGTGTTTATCTGCCGTACTAAGGATATTATTAAGCTTTATTCAGAACCTCGCAATTAGCGGAATAAATTAGTGGTTTTAATTACACTTTATACTTTTTAGTTCACGATCATTCACAATATTAAAAAAAACACATATAAAATTAATAGAATATCCTAACAACAACTTGCGTTAGTCAGTTGTAGTATCCAAAGAGAAAGCCTAATATTTAGCTTATAAAAAGTTACTTTTGAAGTATAATTAGTGGAAAAGTTAAAAGTTTGATAACTTTTTCTCCTAATTGAAAATATCTACCATTAATTTTGACATTCTGAATCTAACATTGAAAGTAAAGGAACAAACTTCTACCGCTATTGAAACCACTAATTTATTCCACTAATTACGAGGTTCTGAAAATGAAACTTAACACTATCAAATTTCCTTGTCAAAGATTTTATTTAAAAAATATTTTATGAAGAATTTGAGAGTGTAATATGTATGATTTTATAAATCTATACTAATATATAAAATCCTTAAGTGACTGACATACTGATTAATCACGATCCTGCTCAAACCACTCAACGTAAGAAGCTCAATTTTGGCATGCAGGTTGATTCTAGGGTGTAGAGGTTCGATAAAAAGGGATTTTTCGAAATTCCAGTTCCAAGAGGGTGAAACCAACCCTCAAATATTACAATATTTTTTATTTTAAAAACGACCAAGTTTCCGAAAAAACGCTTAAACACGTATATTTTATTTTGTTTTTTTACATATTTTAAGATTTTTTAAAAATGTATACAGGGTGTTTCCAAAAATCTGGTCATTGATTAATCACGATCCTGTTTAAAGCGCTTGACGTAAAAAGCTGATTTTTGGAAAACAGATTGACTTTAGGGTGCAGAGGATCGATAAGAAGGGATTTTTCGAAACTCGAATTCTAAGGGGGTGAAACCGTGAAACTATCCCTCAAATATTAAAAAAAAATTATTTAAAAACCGGTGAGTTTTTCGGAAAAACTCTTAAACACGTATATTTTATTTTGTTGTTTTACATATTTTAAGATTTTTTATAAATTTATACAGTTTCATAAAATATGACCATTGAGCAATCACGATTCTGCTTAAACTGCTTGACGTTTAAAGCTGATTTTTGGCAAACGGTTGACTGTGGGGTGTAGAGGTTCGATAAGGAGGGGTTTCTCGAATCTCAAATTCCAAGAGGGTGAAAACGCCCCTCAAATATTACAATATTTGTTATTTAAAAAACGGTTAGTCTTTCGGGAAAACGCTTGGACAAGCATAGTTTATTTGATTTTTTTACATATTTTGAATTTTTTTAAAAAATCATAAAGGGTGTTCAAAAAAGTTGGGTAATTTCTTAATCACGATTCTGCTTAAACTGCTTGACGTAAAAAGCTTATTTTTGGCAAAGGGATTTTTCGAAAGTCAAATTCCAACGAGATGAAACTACCTCTCAAATATTACCAAGTTATATAATAATATCGCCATATTGTTTTTTCTCATGCTGACATAAATGTGAGAAAATTTTATCCAGTTTGTATGTTAATGGAAATTCTTGCTTTGCTTTTACAAATGATTAATTCGACGCGAACGAAGTCGCTGGTACACGCTAGTATTGTATATTAACACTGTGATATTTTTATTATAATATCTTTTATAAAAGATCTTTGACAAAGAAATTTGATAGTGTAATAGCGGCCTCAGTAATATTGAGTTTCCAACAGGTTCATTTAATGACTGAGCTGTATGAGCTAATTTTTTTCTCATACCGCTTCGATTGACTTTCACTGCTTTTTCCATTTTTTTTGCTGTAATTACCATATGGCTGGTTGTCAATTTTTTTCGAAATGGTCAAGGAGACGATAATAGAAATCATGCAAATGGTTTTATTGTCAAAAATGTGTGATTGAAAATTGAATAGAAAGGTCGCTTATTTTTCACTACGATTGTACGCACAGGAAAAATAAACAAAGTAATTTATCTCATAGCAATAAAACGTTAATTTCAGTAGATGACTCTACAAAGCCGGTGTTAGTTCGTCGGGTGATTTTTATTTTTACCTGTCTATATGTAAGTTATAGTTATTTATTATTTCTATTAACTACTTTAAATTTAAATTTCTTATTTTTTATTATTTTGAATTTTGAAAAATAAGTATTCAAATATTAGAAAATACGAAAGGAATATTTTTAAAAACTGTGGATTTTGAAACTGAATTTTTCTATTTTTAGCTAGTGATGATGAATTTAATTTACTAACAATATGAAAGTCTTAAAACGCTTTAATAATGTATAAAGAAATATTTTGTTATTAACATAGACAAATAGGTAGTATAAGTAGTATATTGAGTTGTCAATATAATATTTTGTCGGTAACTTCTTTAGGAAACATTTTACATAGAAAAAAATCGGGATATAATTATTTATATGGAATTTCGTATGGTTTTATAACGTAAATGTCAATAGGTACCTATATGTTTATTAGGGAAAGAATAAATTAGTCATATGCATAACTCCTAGTTCTACAGTATGTCTGCGGATTGTGTTTACAAGACGATTTTTTTTAATATCGACATTTTGATAACAATTATTATTTTATTCTTGATAAAAATGTTTGCTTGTTCTATAAAACGGTTAATACCGTTATACAAATTTCCATACCGTTTTGAAGAAAATAAAAAAAACATAAAAATATGGTTGAATTTAAGTCCTCCATCAAAGGGCGTTTCTAGTTTCTATGGTAATCTCAATTTAATTGAATTCTTTGATAGATGGTTAGTGTTAATTTTGATAACATCATATTTTTTGCTGTTGTTAAAGTATCACATTTTCCGATAACTATCATCACCCTTTCCGTAGCATTAAACTAAATAAATGTTATGCTTCCTTTAACATTTTAAAACATCAAAAAATATTACATTAATTAAAATTCTATGAATAACAATCTATCAAAGAATGAATCGAAATTATATTACCATAGAAACGCCTTGTGATTTTTTAGGACTTAGGCACTTTAACCATATTTTTTTTTTATTTTCTTCAGAACGGCATGGAAATTTGGAAAAGTATAAACGGGATTAACCATTTTAGAACAAGCAAAATTTTTTATGAAGAATGCGTTTTTCTGTGTCAAATTTTTTTTTTCCTTTTGTAAAGACAATCTGAGGACATACTGTATACAAAAGTAATATTATTTAATTTGAAACTTTAAAAAAAACTTGTACTTAAATAACTAACCAGAAAATCTAAAAATAAATTATAAACATGTCTAATAATTCCGACAACCTTCGAAATTACTAGTTCACCAGAAATATGTAATGGTATTGCAGTCATAATAAAATTATTACCTGTATTGCGACTGAAATTTATTTAAACCAACATATTTTTTATGTGAAAAGCCAAAGTATTTCCACGGGCACACATTTTTAAGTTTTTTTTACCCTAAACAAATTTAAATATCCAATAAAGGGCTTTTACTGTTTGGTTGTCGGAACAATAAAAATAAATAAAACTATGTAAATATGAAGAATTTCGTAGGTAAGACAAAAGTGTGTACATTTATGTAAAGAGATACTGAAGAGAACCACTAAACCAACACTTCACATGAGAAAATTTGATTTCGATGTCAATATGAGTCTTACTTAAGTCTTACTTGTAAGGGGCGCCACCTACAGGTTCTTTAAGTGTTTTGAAGAGTAATAACTTTTCGTCCGTACCTGTATAAAACTATATATATAAAAAAGTGAAAAAATATACTACATTTTCGTAATTTCTTACGTAAAAAATGTCTATTGGTAAAAATCACTACGAGCAACCAAGATTGATTTAGAATTGCCAATATTTGTCATTATTGACAAAAATAAACATGTTGAGTATGTAGATAGTTATTTGACCGAAATAATAAATTTGGGAACTTTTAATTTTTTTTTTAAATTAATCATAATCATAAATTTTCTTCGAAAAAAATGTGATAAATAAGTTTTTGTTGAACTTTTGGCACAAAAGCATTTCAACTTTATTATTTCAGTTTAATAACAATTTAGTCAACATGTTTAATTTATGTCTATCATGACAGGTATTGATAATTTCCAAATATTTCGAGGACTATTAGTCGTCACGATTTTTACCAAGAGACCGTAAAAAACGTACGTAAAAAATGTAGCAAATGTATATTTTTTACTCGGTAGTTTTATACAGGTACGGACGAAAAGTTATTACTCTTCAAACAAATTAAAAAATATGTAGGTGGCGCCCTCTACAAATAGGAGACATATTGACATCAAGATTTCCTATGTCAAAAAACTCCCAGACATCAATTTTCTTCCAAATATCTACGTTAGTTGAAAAATCATTTGGAAAAAATTGAAATAAAAATGAAACTTCTACACCCTATATCTCCGAAACTAAGCATTTTAGAACACACTCTTCACAGCAGAATATGCTGCCCGAGTTTTCCAAATACAATTTGGACCCTTCTGTATATAAACCCGCAACATAAGTATAATTCTTATTTGAAATGTTTAATAACAAAATGAAACTCTAATTTACCACAATACACCAAAACACTTTACTGTAAAACACTGGGCGCGCGTTTTGCTTACCATGTTAGCATCATCAGCAGATGATTAAAACTAAAGATGTACTCATATAGTTATAATTATCCGCTGATGATTCTAACATGGTTAACGCGCGTCTAGTGTTTAAAGCGTTTTGTTGTATTATGGTGAATTAGTGTTTTATTTTTCTGTTGTAACACCAAAGGTTTCAACTTTCAACTATAATAAAATGTTTAATATTATAATTTTCATTAAATGCTAATTACATACTTAACTAGGTATTTATTTTCATATTAAATTAAAAGTTTTATTGATGTTATTGAATGTTTTATAACCTTCAAAACTCATGCAAACCGAATAATCACTTCAGTGAATTCTGCTAGACCTGACTAGATAATTACATTTTTCCAATTGCAGCTTCTCAAGCTGCAAACAATGATGAATATTTCTTTTATTTAAATCTCGAAATTTGCATTAATCTTCGTTACTAAACGTTTTAATCGTAATATTATAAACAACAGAGTCACCTTCACAGCATAAAGAAGGCAGACACATCCATATTTTCTTTTTAACTTGTTCTGCGTTTCAATATCAACCTGTAGTTACATAAAAGGTGTATAACCGTATTAGTAGTTGTAATTCCAGCTAAGGTAGAGGTTATTTCATATAAGGTGTCTTAAAAAAATTTAGTTAGGCCATACTTTTTATATAATTTTATTTACCTGGAGGTACGGTACTGTTTCCGTCAATAACCATTCTAATCATTGTCGCATTGGCATATCTACCGATGACAATGTGCAGTGGTGTTAGATGTAGAATGACCGCCATTACTGCTGTTGGGCTTGTTTTCAGGGCTCCTGTGATGCGGATGCATGCCAGTGTCTGTACTTTGCACAGGTTTTGCTGTACGTTGCTCTAATTATCTTTATTCTCTCTTTATCTACCAAGCAACTGCTCCATAAAGAATCATGCGTCTTACTACCATGGTATACATCCAATTCAAAATGTTAGGAGCGCAGCTTCATCTATTTCCCGCCAGTCTTCTGCATATCATAAGAGCCTTTGTGGCTTTGCGGGTAATGTTTCTAATGTGCCTGGTTCATAGAAGTTTACTGTCCAGGGTACTAATTTACAAATATTTGACTTCCTGTGATGGCAATATTTCTGTTTCATCTAGTTGGATTCTTTTCAAGTTTTTCAGACTATTCAGGTTTTCTGCTGGATGGCACTAACTCGGGTAACTATGTTGTTTGCATACCCAATGCAGTGTATTTCCGCTAGAATTAATTGGTCTAGTAGTTCACTCACTACCAAGCTCTACAGTAGAGTGGGTTACTCCACCTTGTGGATTTTCTTGCGTTGTACAGTTAACAGCTACAGTTTTGGTACATATCTGAGTCTCTGCTGCCCGTGTTGAGAGCATTTCCCAAAACCAGCGAATAATAGTTCTGTTTGCCCCTCCTGTTTCTATAGATCACCACCTGTTGTTGTACAAACGTCCCTGCAATGTTAAAGAAGGCACAAATTGCTGTTTCTTTGCTATCCAGGCTTGCCTGTATTAGCCCCGTTATTCGGTATAGAGCACTTTCTGTGGATCTACCCGCTCTTTAATGTAAGAAATAAAATGTTCGAGCGGTCACGGAAATATCAATTATTTTCAAGTTTATAAGAAGACCTTGGCGTGTTTTTATATTGTTGTGAATAGTGTAGTAGTAGAAATAGTAGATGGTGAGTAGTTATTTCCTGACTCTCTTTTAGAAGACCCTACTTTTGCTGCTTTAAAGGTTGAAAGGTGTCAATGCGCCATTTCAGTTTTTACTCTTTTATTACTAGCTTGGCTACTTCCCAACTACTTTCTATTAATGCTACATGCGCATCAATAGAATAGTGTGTTAGTAGGTTAGCTCCAAATACGTTTAAAATAAAGTATACGGAGGGTACCGCTTAAATTCCTGTCCCGATATTGAAGGATGGCTATAGAATTTCAATGCATTTCCTACATAAGTCTATCCTTGGTTTGTAGGAGGTTTGACTAAACAAGGATGAACCTATGTCTTGAACATTCGACTTGATTTTCTGTCCTCCTTCAATACTGGGACTTAAATCCTCTCATTGCTCTTATGGGGAGGCCGTCGTATATTTTATTTAAACGTATTTGGTTAGCTCTCTCTCCATTTCCTTCTGTGTAACTTCCGTCAGATTTCTTAAGTGCCATGTTGGGGATAGGCCCACTCTTGGCCATAACTTTGTGTAGTCTACCACAAATTACCTGACACTACCATTATAAAAGAATAATTTACCATTTCGATTACTAATAAATAAATCTAAAGCATGCACTTAAGAATAAAGTATTTTAATGAGTAAAATAGCATACCGTGCAATTGCCAAGATATAATTATTATAGAAATAAAGAGATGTCTAATATTGATACTAAAAATTTATAACAGAATTGTTGAATAGGTGTTTCAATAGAAACTAAGTGAAATAAATTGACTTAGTTTTACAAGAGATCTCA